CAAACATTTCTTTTTTTTTTTTTTTTTTTTTTTTTTTTAAAGTCCATTCCAGGAATTACATTTTTACACCTTGTATGTAGCTGAGGCTACATATTCTTCATACAGTACTGGCAGCCATTGCATGGGTTAATGTATGTAGAATTTCCTTTGGACCAGCGGAGTCCAAATGAACTATTTAAGTAGTGATGCACCGAAATGAAAATTCTGGACAGAAACCGAAAATTCAGGATGTACTTGGCCCAAAAAACAAAAAAAAAACAAAACATTTTTTAGCTAAATCCAGAAACATAAAATAAACTTTTATTGAATGTATGTACACACACATATATACACACATACATGTGTACTGCTCAAAAACAAATGAAAGGAACACTTTGAAAACCCATCAAATCTCAATGGGGACAAATCTCCTGCTGGATCTCTATACTGACATGGACGGGGTAATGTGTTAGGAACGTAAGGATGCCCCATCATTCGATCGAAATGAAAATGATCGACCTACAGAGGACTGAATTCAAAGACACCCCGAAAATCAAAGTGAAAAAATGATGCAGCAGGCGAGTCCATTTTGCTGAAATGTCATTGCAACTCAGAATGGTCCTCAGTAGTTTGTCAGGCATGCATACAAGCACGTGGGGGCCATACAATGTCGGGGCATGCTCCTAAAGAGATAACAGATGGTGCCTGGGGGATTTCCTCCAAGATCTGAACCAGGGCATCACTGAGCTCCTGGACAGTCTGAGGTGCAACCTGGTGGGAGCGGATGGAAACATGACATCCCAGAGGTGTTCTATTAGATTTAGGTCAGGCGAGCGTGGGGGCCATTCAATGGTATCAATTCCTTCATCCTCTAGGAACTGCCTGCATACTCTCACCACATGATGCCGGGCATTATCATGCACCAGGAGGAACCCAGGACCCACTGCACCAGGAGGAACCCAGGACCCACTGCACCAGTGTAGGGTCTGACAATGGGTCCAAGGATTTCATCCCGATACCTAATGGCAGTCAGGGTGCCATTGTCTAGCCTGTACAGGTCTGTGTGTCCCTCCATTGATATGCCTCCCCAGACCATCACTGACCCACCACCAAAACGGTCATGCTGAATGATGTTATAGGCAGCAGAACGTTCTCCACGGCTTCTCCAGACCCGTTCATGTCTGTCACATATGCTCAGGGTGAACCTGCTCTCATCTGTGAAAAGCACAGGGTGCCAGTGGTGGACCTGACAATTCTGCTGTTCAATGGACAAATGCCAATCCAGCTCTATGGTGCCGGGCAGTGAGCACAGGGCCCACTAGAGGATGTTGGGCCTCAGGCCAACCTCATGAAGTCTGTTTCTGATTGTTTTGTCAGAGAAATTCACACCAGTGGCCTGCTGGAGGTCATTTTATAGGGCTCTAGCAGGGCTCATCCTTTTCCTCCTTGCACAAAGAAGCAGATACCGGTTCTGCTGATTGGTTAAGGACCTTCTACGGCCCTGTCCCGCTCTCCTAGAGTAACTGCCTGTCTCCTGGAATCTCCTCCATGCTCTTGAGACTGTGCTAGAAACACAACAAACCTTCAGGCAATGGCAAATATTGATGTGCCATCCTGGAGGAGTTGGACTGCCCATGCAACCTCTGTAGGATCCAGGTATCGGCTCATGCTACCAGTAGTGACCCTGTCACTAGCCAAATGCAAAACTAGTGAAAAACAGGCAGAAAACATTAGTAGGGAAAAAAAAAATATTAGTGGCCTCCACCTGTAAAACCATTCCTGATTTGGGGGTCGTCTCATAGTTGCCCATCTAGTGCACCTGTTGTTAATTTCATGAACACCAAAGCAGCTGAAACTGATTAACAACCCCCTCTGCTACTTTAACTGACCAGATCAATATCCCAGGAGTTTCACTGACTTGATGCTAGAGTCTGCTCAAAAAAATGAAAGCAACACTTTTTAATCAGTGTATATTCATATCACAGCAGGTAAAATAAGTATTGAACACGTCACCATTTTTCTCAGTAAAAATATTTCTAAAAGGTGCTATTGACATGAAATTTTCACCACATCAATAAGAACCCATGCCATCCATACATACAAAGAAACCAAAACAAATAAGTTCAGGAATTAAGTTATGTGTAATAAATTGGAATGACACAGGGAAAAAGTATTGAACACGCTAACTGAAATTTATTTATTACTTCGTACAAAATCCCTTGTTGGTAATGACAGCTTCAAGATGCCTTCTGTATGGAGAAACTAGCGACATGCATTGCTCGGGTGTGATTTTGGCCCATTCTTCCACAGTCTTCAAATCTTGAAGGTTCCGTGAGCCTCTTCTATGAACTCTCATCTTTAGTTCTTTCCACAGATTTTCTATTGGATTCAAGTCAGGTGATTGGCTGAACCATTCTAGCAGCTTTATTTTCTCTCTTTGAAACCAATCAAGGGTTTCCTTGGCTTTGTGTTTGGGATCACTGTCTTGCTGAAATGTCCGCCCTCATTTCATCTTCATCATTCTGGTAGATGGCAGCAGATTTATCAAGAATGTCTTGGTACATTTTTCCATGATATGAAGTTTGCCAGTACCGTATGCTGAAAAACAGCCCCACTCCATGATGTTCCCAACGCCATGCTTCACTGTTGGGATGGTGTTTTTGGGGTGGTGTGCAGTGCCATGTGACCTCCATACATGGTGTGTATTATGGCATCCAAATAGTTCAATTTTGGTCTCATTTGACCAGACGATATTCTCCCAGGATTTCACAGGCTGGTCTAAATGTTGGGCAGCAAACTTTAAATGAGCTTCAACAACCTTTTTCTTCAGCAATGGAGTCTTGAGTGGTGACGTGCATACAGACCGAGGCCAAGCTGGGTGAGTGCACTACTTACTGTTTTCTTTGAAATAATTGTACCTGCTAATTCCAGGTCTTTCTGAAGCTCTCCACAAGTGGTCCTTGGCTCCTGGACAACTTTTCTGATGATTCTTTTCAGTCCTCTGTCCGAAATCTTGTGAGGAGCACTTGGTCGTGGCTGTTTTATGATAAAATTATGTTCTTTCCACTTCTGGATTATGGCCTCAACAGTGCTCACTGGAACATTCAGAAGTTTAGACATTCTTCTGAAACCAATGCCATTAGTATGTTTTGGAAAAATAAGGTTGTGAAGGTCTTGAGAGAGCTCTTTGCTTTTACCCATCATGAGATTTTCTTGTGTGTGGCAATGAGACACCTTTTAATAGGCCATCAGTTGAGACTGAACCAGCTGATCTTAATTTGCACTGACAAGGGGCAGGATTGCTTTCTAATTACTGATTTCAACCGGTGTCTTGGCTTTCCAATGCCTTTTTGCACCTCCCTTTCTTCATGTGTTCAATACGGTTTCCCTGTATAATTTTAATGTTATTACACACAACTGAACTTATTTGTTTTGGTTTCTTTGTATGTATGGATTGCAACCGACAAGTATGTATATGCTGCACAATAATTTAAAGGATATGTTCACCTTTTGAAAGGTTTTTGCAGATTAAAAAAAATAAATGTATTATTTTTTGCTGCAGGAGCCTTGAAAGCATTGTACCAGCGGTCAGCAGATTGCTGGTACCATGCAGAACTCCTGCAGACCTGTCAGAATACCCGTTTGCCCCTACATCCTGTATGAGCAAGCCGATACACTCTATCAGAAAAAATCAACGAACTACCACCACGGTGCTCAAAAGGCCATCGTAGTTAATTGAGGTCTACAGGCCGCTACTTGCTAAGGCTGTCAGGACTTTTAGTTTTCTTATTCACAGAATACTGTGAATGAGTGATTCGTCAGGGCAGGCAGAGCCCCGTGTGGCCGCGTTTTGTAAAAATTTTGACAGTTAGCAGGGAGGACAAGATCCCCTGCCAGCTGTCAAAGCAGGGGAGCAGGGAGGAGTGGGTGGGTTGCTCCTTCCTTTCATAACATGTTACCCTGAATATGGGTGTAACATGTTATGAGAGGTGAACTTATCCTTTAAAAAAAAAAAAACAAACAAACAAACTAAAAAAAAAAAGCACAAAAACAGCGGCATTGTCAGCACCTTTTTTTTTCCTATCGATAAAATGCCTTTAACCCTATTTCTGGCAGATAATTTTCGTCAGCCGATATATCGATGTATCAGTAATTTAACCACCTTCCGCCCGCCATATAGTACAATGACGGGCGCAAGGTGGTTCTCTCGTTCTGATAGGACGTCATATGACGTCCTTCCATTCTCACCGCGCATGCGCAGCTCAGGGAGCGTGCAGCTCGGCGATCGCAAGTGCGCTGTGTCCCTCAGACACAGCGGATCACGGAAAGAGCCAAAGATGTCGGCTCGGTCATGTGATCAGCTGTGTCTAATCACAGCTGATCACATGTAAACACGGAAATGCCAGTTATCAGCATTTCTCTCCTCTCGAGCTGTCACGCTGACAGAGGAGAGCTGGTAATCGGCTTTTCCGCGGAGGGGACGTGTACACTGATGATCAGTGTGGCCCCAGAAGTGCCACCTGTCAGTGTCCATCAGTGCCAGAAGTCAGTACTCATCAGTGCCAGAAGTCAGTACTCATCAGTGCCAGAAGTCAGTACTCATCAGTGCCAGAAGTCAGTACTCATCAGTGCCAGAAGTCAGTACTCATCAGTGCCAGAAGTCAGTACTCATCAGTGCCAGAAGTCAGTACTCATCAGTGCCAGAAGTCAGTACTCATCAGTGCCAGAAGTCAGTACTCATCAGTGCCAGAAGTCAGTACTCATCAGTGCCAGAAGTCAGTACTCATCAGTGCCAGAAGTCAGTACTCATCAGTGCCAGAAGTCAGTACTCATCAGTGCCAGAAGTCAGTCAGTACTCATCAGTGCCAGAAGTCAGTACTCATCAGTGCCAGAAGTCAGTACTCATCAGTGCCAGAAGTCAGTACTCAGTACTCATCAGTGCCAGAAGTCAGTACTCATCAGTGCCAGAAGTCAGTACTCATCAGTGCCAGAAGTCAGTACTCATCAGTGCCAGAAGTCAGTACTCATCAGTGCCAGAAGTCAGTACTCATCAGTGCCAGAAGTCAGTACTCATCAGTGCCAGAAGTCAGTACTCATCAGTGCCAGAAGTCAGTACTCATCAGTGCCAGAAGTCAGTACTCATCAGTGCCAGAAGTCAGTACTCATCAGTGCCAGAAGTCAGTACTCATCAGTGCCAGAAGTCAGTACTCATCAGTGCCAGAAGTCAGTACTCATCAGTGCCAGAAGTCAGTACTCATCAGTGCCACGTGCCAGTGCCCATCAGTGCCACATCAATGTCACATATCAGTGCATACCAGTGCACATCAATGCCACATATCAGGGCCCATCTGAGCTGCCTTTCAATGTCACCCATCCGTGCCAGTCAGTGCCACCTATCAATGCCAATCAGTGCCACCTATCAGTGCTGCCAATCAGTGCCAGTCAGTACCGCCTAACAGTGCCAGTCAGTGCCGCCTAACAGTGCCATATATTAGTGTCATGCATCAGTGCCCATCAGTGATGCCTGTCAATGCCCATCAGTGCAACCTACCAGTGCCTCCTCATCAGTGCAGCCTATCAGTGCCCATCACTGCAGCCTCATTAGCTCACATCAGTGAATGAGAAAAATCACTTAATTTACAAAATTGTATAACAAAAACTAAGAAAAAAACTTTTTTTTTTTTCAAAAAAAAATTTTTCAGTGGTTTTTGGTTTAAGAAAAAAAAATAAAAACCCAGAGGTGATTAAATACCACCAAAAGAAAGCTCTGTCTCAAAAAAATGATAAAAATTTCATATGGGTACAGTGTCGCATGACCATGCAATTGTCATTCAAAGTGCGACAGCGCTGAAAGCTGGAAATCGGCCTGGGCAGGAAGGGGGTATAAGTGCCCGGTAGGCAGGAAGGGGGTATAAGTGCCCGGTAGGCAGGAAGGGGGTATAAGTGCCCGGTAGGCAGGAAGGGGGTATAAGTGCCCGGTAGGCAGGAAGGGGGGTATAAGTGCCCGGTAGGCTAGTGGTTAAAATTTATGGAGTTCGGTTTTAAATGAATTTTAGGGCACACAAACACAATATAATACCCAATTTTTTGGTAAAATATAAAAAGAAAATATAGATACTAAATATTTCAAGCAATAAAACTATGCATATCTGTGAAATGGTAAAAAAAAAAAAAAAAAAAAAAAAACAAAAAAAACGATGGTACCCAAAAATGTCCATAGGTGACGCTTTAGCCACTTCCAGCCAACCTGGAGCATATATGCAGTCCTAGGTAAACACTTTATTGTGCTGAGAACGCTCCCAACACAGAAACAAACAGGCACCGGAAACCTCCCAATGCATACTTGTGATTGGAAGCTTTCCGATCATGTGACTGTTGTGATGGCCAATCATAGCGGTCTTGAGTTAGAAATATGATGAATTATGAGAAAAGGGAAAAAAGACAGGGAAGAGAAAGATAAAAAGGAAGGGGGGGGGGGGGGGGGAGTTGAAAGCAGGAGGAAAGGGAAAGAAGGGGAAACAGGAGACAAAAAAAGAGAAAAAGGAAGGAAGAGGGAAAGGGAAAAGAGACTGAAGGAAGGAAAAGAGAAATAAAAAAGGGGGGGGGGGGGGCATTGAAGGAAAGGAGGGGAGGGGGCAGAGACGGAAAGGAGGGGAGAGGGAAAGAAAGGAAGGAACCAAAAGAAAAAAGAGGGAAGGGGGGGAAGAAAAAAAGAAGAAACGGATACAAAGATATGAGGCAAGGGAAAAAGGGAATAGAAGAAGTAAAAGAAAAGAAAAAAGGGAGGGAAGGAAAGGGGAAAAACAAGAAGAAAACAAAGCAGATTTATAATCACCATTCAGAAGTTCTTGCACCATCTCCACAGCTGACTTAGATTCGGAGGTCTCTGGCCACTCTGTTACCCCAGTTCTTAATCCTTCAGACAAAACCTGTTAAAAAAAAAAAATCAATTTTAAAAACACTTCCTTAACCGTTCCACGCCGCCATATAGCAGATATACCGCTACACGGAGGCACCTGTGTGCAAAATTACGTATATACACACATGATTTTGCATTTCCTGGTAGGAGGTGCACCCGAGCCCGTCACCATTTGCGGCCGCTGAAGTAAATCACCGGGTCCCAGCTGGTAAGTACCCGCTGGCGACTGGTGATTACCGAGCAGCTCCGACGGAGAGGAGGGCTGCTTTGTTTACTAACAGTCGTCCTCCCTGTCAGCTCGGGCACACTGCTCTGGATGGCTGTGCACAGCACAGCCATCCAGAGCAGCGTGATTACAGAGTTGTGTGCATTCAGAGCTTTTGTTTGGTGTTATTTAATCACCACTGAGGGGGTTTATTTTTTGCACTTCCTCCCTGTCAATTCAAGCACACTGCACAGCACAGCCATCCTGATCAGTGTGCTGACAGTAAAGCACACAGACCCCGTCCCCTAGTAAAAACATTCTCAGCACATGGTTAACCCTTTGATTGCCCCTCACATTGACCCCTTCCTGCACAGTGCCATTAGTACAGGGTCAGTGCTTTTTTTTAGCACTGATCACTGTATTGGTGTCACCCAGCCACTGCCATTGGCCAGGTGGTGATGATGTCACTCCCATGCATGCGCGGGGGTTCAGTCAGATTCGGCCACTGCCGAATTAGTACCTGTGAGCTGTGCATGTGCTGCTCATTACAGAGCGGACAGGCAGGTAAGTAGCCAAAACATGTCTCTCCTGCATTAAAAATCCTGCTTGTCTGCCAATTTTAACCCCTCGCCCTCCAGAGGATTTACTGGGGATGTCAGTGACACCAAGTTAGTCACTGGGGATGTCAGTGACACCAAGTTAGCTCCCCCCCGTGTCAGAATGTCTGCCACAGTCCCGCTCGCCACCATTACTAGTAAAAAAGAAAACAAAAAAAAACAAAAACAAAACAAAAACAGATCCCAGTATCTATACCGCCATTGGTAAACGCTATAACTTTCATGTAAACCAATTAATTTACGTGTATTGGAATTTTTTGTTAGCAAAGACACGGAACAGAATACATTTTGGCCTAAATTTATGCCGAAATTTGATTTTTTAAATTTTTTTTAGTAGACATGTTTAATAGCAAAAAGTCCAAAATATTGTTTTTTTTTTTTCAAAATTGTCGGTCTTTTTTTTTTTGCTTATAGCGCAAAAAATACAAAAAACGCACAGACGATCAAATACCACTGAAAGAAAGCTAAATTCATGGGAAGAAAAAGACGTAAATTTGATTTGTGTGCAGCATTGCATGACCGCGCAATTGTCAGTTAAAATTACGCAGAGCAGTAATGCAAAAAATGGCCTGGTCAGGAAGGGGGGGGGGGGGGGTAAATCCTCTGGAGGGCGAGGGGTTAAAGTGGAACTTTAGGGTAAGGTGTTAAAATTGGCAGACAAGCAGGATTTTTAATGCAGGAGAGACATGTTTTGGCTACTTACCTGCCTGTCCGCTCCTGTACAGTGAGCAGCACATGCACAGCTCACTGTACTAATTCGGCAGTGCCGAATCTGGCTGAACCCCCGCGCATGCATGGGAGTGACATCATCACCACCTGGCCAATGGCAGTAGCTGGGTTTTTATTAAAACCCGGAAGCCAGTCACCCAAAGATGTCAGTGGCCAGGTGGAGAGCTCAGGGACGCCGCTTCGCTGGAGCATTGTTCCGCTTTAAATCCAAAGTCTCCTGAACCCCCCATACCTCCCACCCCAGCATCCTCCCATCCTTCATTCACAGATAGCTTTTCATTCATGCAGTACAGATTCTATGAAGAGAGGAGAGGCGGGCACTGTCAGCCCTCTTGATGTGTGCCTGTCACAGGGCTTTCAGTTCGTATTACTACACCCACAACAGTACAATCAGTCTGTAGATGCAGTAAAGCATGCTTGTTATACTCACTGTGGAACCTAAGGGGTTAATCCTCTGCATTGTGTGATCCTGTCTTCTCTGATCCTCCCCCTTCTACTATCATATCATATCATATGTGGACTGTAGCTCTCCTCTCTATTGAGACAGGTTCACCTTTTGCCGTATTTATTTATTTCAGGTACTTATATAGCGCCGTCAATTTACGCAGCGCTTTACATATATATTGTACATTCACATCAGTCCCTAACCCTCAAAAGGCATACAATCTAAGGTCCCTAACTTACATCCATACACATACTAGGGCCAATTTAGACAGGATCCAATTAACCTACCAGCATGTCTTTGGAGTGTGGGAGGAAACTGGAGTACCCGGAGGAAACCCACGCAGGCACAGGGAGAACATGCAAACTCCAGGCAGCTGGTGCCATGGTTGGGATTCGAACCAATGACCCTAGTACTGCCAGGCAGAAGTGCTAACCATTTAGCCACTGTGTTGCCCTATTTATGGTACTTATATAGCGCTGTCAATGTATGCAGCGCTTTACATATATATAGTACATTCACATCAGTCCCTAAACCCTCAAGGGGTGTACAATCTAAGGTCCCTAACTCACATTTATACATACACATACTAGGGACAATTTAGACAGGATCCAATTAATCTACCAGCATGTTTTTGGAGTGTCCAGAGGAGACCCACGCAGGCACAGGGAAAACATGCAAACTCCAAGCAGGTGGGGCTGTGGCTGGGATCCAAACCAATGAGCCCAGTGCTTCATTCATCATAGCTCTTTAGGAATGGCTGTCCCAAACGAGTGTGTAGCTCCCCCTGTAGGGGAACTTACTTTGGGAGATAGTAAGATCAGTGAATATTCAGCATCTGGCCATCTACCCCTAACCAGTGGCCATAAAGTGACGTATAGTTATTTTATGTGGATAGACAACGTTCTCTGGGTGTGGTGATGGATGATTTTTGCATCTCGTTACAATTTGTAACAGTTAATCATATTTTTGATACAATAAATGTATGATCTGATATCGGATATGTCGCATTGGCCCCTCTTGGGTAACCCGTTTTGTAGTGGACTCTCTTGTTCCCATTTTTTTTCTCTGTATGCTGATTTTTTGGTTACATGGGACTGCGCTTACTTAGTATGGGTGGATACCAGTAATTGTTTTCCTGTCATAGTGAAACCAGTGGGAACGCATTGTTCTGCATTGTGTTCATAGTGTTCTGCATACAGGGCCCTCATATATATATATACATACATACACACATATACATATACACACATATACATATACATACATACATATACATATACACACATACATACATATACACACACACATACATACATACATATACACACACACATATACATACATACACACATACATATACATACACACACATACACATACATATACATTTTATATAAAGTATACTACACACACACCAGTACAAAACTCAAGCTCCTTATACACAGCTCCTTAGCGACCGGACT